AGGGACAGCTGCCCGCCCTCCCTAGCCCCACGCGGGCACACACAGCTGCCCGGCCTCCCCGGGGAGCGGCCCCTCGCAGGGCTGGGCCCCCACAGCTGTTCTCAGAGACTCGGAGTCGGGTTCGTTCTGGATACACTTTTATATGAAACCTTTTCGTTTCCTTCCACTCGGATGTCGTTGTTCTTGCTGGTGTTAACGTAAAAAACCATTGAAACTTGTAAAGAGTTTTTGTGAGTTTATTTGAGCCAAACTGTCGAGATCTGCCGGGAAGCAGAACCTCAACGAATTGAGATAGTGCTCCGGAGAATGGCAGGTTACATCCGTGTTTATACAGGAAATTCATTGGTGACAGATTTAAGGAGGTGGATTAAGCGAAGTGGGGAAACCTCTGTGATAGGATAAAAAGTAAAAGGATGGACACATACTTAGGTGGGTGCAGGATCAATTAACATGATAATGAAGGAATTTGTAGTATCTGCCCTGGCGCCCAGAACATTTGGTTGTGCCCCAGGGGCTCCAGAAAAAGGGAAGTTACAAGTGACCCAGACATTTCAAGGGAATGTTATCTTAGAGGCAAAAAGGCAAATGGGCTCAGTAAGGATCAAAGTTGATCTTGTCAGTGAAGATACTGGCCTAGGACATAACTGCCCACCATCACTGCTTTAGTTAAAGTTTAATTTCAGACCATCCTTTGTGGTTATTTTAGGTCTCTGAGTCTGCTAGGCTGCCACGCAGGCCTCCCCTGAGCTGTCAGGTCAGCGTGTGGCCCCTTTCGTCCACACTGGGAAACGCTGCTCAACCACCTGGACAGTTAGCGGCTGGAAACCCCTCGCGAAGCCTTGTCCTTACCGAGACGAGTGGTGGGGACAGAACAGGGCTCCCGGTAAACACTGGGCCACCTCACGGACAGGCTACTGCTCAGGGCAGGGAATGAGCAGTTAGGCCAAAGAAAGTGGGACAACAGCACACGTGTGGGGAGGGCTCGTGGGGGGGCCCTGCAGCCTCAGCGGACTTTGTACCAAGTGTGAGTGTGTGAATGCGTGTGTGAGAGTGTGTGTGTGAGTGTGAGTGTGTGCGTGAGTGAGTTTGAGAGTATGTGTGTGCGAGTGTGCATGTGTGTGCGAGTGCGTGTGAGAGTATGTGTGTGCGAGTGTGCGCGCGCGAGTGTGTGTGTGCGAGTGCGTGTGAGAGTGTGTGAGTGTGCGCGCGCGAGTGTGTGCATGCGTGTGAGAGTGTGTGAGTGTGCACACGCGAGTGTGTGTGTGCGAGTGGGTGTGAGAGTGTGTGAGTGTGTGAGTGTGTGTGTGCGTGCACGAGTGCATGTGTGAGTGAGTGTGAGTATGTGCGCGAGTGTGAGTGTATGTGTGTGAGTGTGTGTGTGAGTGTATGAGAGTATGTGTATGAGTGTGTGCATGTATGTAAGTGTGTGTAAATGAGTGTGTGAGTGAATGTGAGTGTGTGCAAGTGTAAGAGTGCGAGTGTGGTAGTGTGAGTGTGGTAATGTGAGTGTGAGTGTGTGAGTGTGGTAGTGAATGTGAGTGAGTGTGTGAGTGTGGTAGTGAGTGAGTGTGAGTGGTAGTGAGTGTGAGTGTGTGGGATGCAGGCTGAGCAGAGGCCTAGATGAGGCTCTGAGGCCTGTCTGCCTTGATGGGGAGACCGGCTCCCTGCCTTGGACGGTGGTGACCTGTGTGCATGGAACGGGCGACACGACCAGATTTTCTTTGTTTGAAGAAAAACAAAGTAAAACTAAAGTTGATTAAAAATCCCCCAAACGAAATGCCAGATGCCCCAGAGTTACATCACCAGAGTCTGTGGCAGATCTGGGGGCATTCGGTCCTGATCCCCATCCCCTGAGCCCGGAGAGGCGGGGCTGGCAGGCACCCCATCAGCCCCTGCCGGCCAGGTCAGCAGCTCTGGACGGGGACCTGGTAGAGGGGACATGGCCAGAG